AGAGGTCATAGGGTCATACACACAAGAGTCATTACAGATACAGAGGTCATAGGGTCATAAACACAAGAGTCATTACAGATACAGAGGTCATAGGGTCATAAACACAAGAGTCATTACAGATACAGATATAGAGGTCATAGGGTCATATACACACAAGAGTCATTACAGATACAGAGGGCATAGGGTCATACACACACAAGAGTCATTACAGATACAGAGGTCATATAGTGTCATACACACACAAGAATTAATGCAGATACAGATCTAGAGGTCATAGGGTCATACACACAAGAGTCATTACAGATACAGAGGACATAGGGTCATACACACACAAGAATTAATGCAGATACAGAGAGGTCATAGGGTCATACACTCAAGAGTCATTACAGATACAGGGGACATAGGGTCATACACACACAAGAGTCATTACAGATACAGAGGTCATAGGGTCATACACATACAAGAATCATACCAGATACAGAGGTCATAGGGTCATACACAGACAACAGTCATGTCAAAAGGTCAGAGACACAGATAACAAGTACCATACACAGTCTACTTTTTTTAACAGATATTTACCATACAGAGTCACAGTTGTATTTCTTGAGAGGTTTTCTGTTCATGTCAAAGTGTTTGTCTATTGTGAGACTGGTATCAGTGTCATGAGCAGAGCCAAAATTTGTCACACTCCTGGCAGGGATACCCAGGGTACGGCAACCTGGAAACCACACAAAGCGATATTACAAATCAACCCAGGATACGGCAATCTGAAAATCACACAAGGCCATATTACAACACGCAGATTTATACAGCTTCAAATCTGAGATTGATTTCTTACTACTTTAAATCACATATATCCCAACTGGACTTCACATAGCTTTTTATCTCATACACGTGTATTGCACTGCCAAAATTCACAGCTTATTTTAAATATTTCTAAAGCAAATAATATATTACTTCATATTAAACTTCTTCAAACTACCGGTACACGCAGGGATATGAATCCAGTTTATGAGACTTGAGCTTTCACAGCTAAATCATTCAGACTTTTTATGTCCAGGACAAATGTTACAATGATTTGACATCTGACCCCCTTCTGTGACCTTGACCTTAGGTTTAAAGATCCAATAAACATTCATAGCATTAATATCCTGGCCCCAGGATCATGAAACAATCTTATATTGAAGTTTTTGCTTGGCCAATCACGCATGATGTCACTTTTAATGACCTTATTTGTGATTGGTCAAGTCAAAATGTTGGGGCCAGGTGTTGTACCGTAAGTGTTGAAATTCTTGCCTGCAGAAATGTTTGTATTGTAACACCTTTAAGCTGATTGTGGTGTGGAAATTGTCATTTGGCAATGGTTTTGAAACCTATATATTCAGTATCTATTATCTGTATTTTATACAAATCAATATTAACATGCAGATATTTTTAAACTAATTTAATTACTCAACACAGAAAATGAGATAAATTTACATCACAATGTCCAAGCATCACATGTACAATGTATGTTATTTAATGAACTCCAGATATAAGATAATCAATCATGTTGATTACTTATATGTGGCAAGTACAATTGAGAAGACCTAGAACTGGCCATACTTGACCAGTGTCTTGGTGCTATAGTATTAATTACTTACAGGTGGTATAAGTACACCAAAGAAGACCCAGCACTGGCCATACTTGACCAATGTCTTGGTGCTATAGTATTAATTACTTACAGGAGGTATAAGTACACCAAAGAAGACCCAGCACTGGCCATACTTGACAAATGTCTTGGTGCTATAGTATTAATTACCTACAGGGGGTAAGTACATCGGAGAAGACCGAGCGCTAAAGTATTAATTACTTAGGGGTGGTAAGTACACTGGAGAAGACCCAGCACTGGCCATACTTGACCAATGTCTTGGTGCTATATATATATATAGTATTAATTACCTACAGGTGGTAAGTACATCGGAGAAGACCGAGCGCTATAGTATTAATTACTTAGGGGTGGTAAGTACACTGGAGAAGACCCAGCACTGGCCATACTTGACCAGTGTCTTGGTGCTATAGTATTAATTACTTAGAGGTGATTAATACACCGAAGAAGACGCAGCACTGGCCGTACTTAAGCAATGTCTTGGTGCTATAGTATTAAATTACTTACAGATGGTAAGTACACCAGAGAAGACCCAGCACTGGCCATTAACTTGACCAATTCATTGGTGCTATAGTATTAATTACTTACAGGTGGTATAAGTACACCAGAGAAGACCCAGCACTGGCCGTACTTGACCAATGTCTTGGTGCTATAGTATTAATTACTTACAGGTGGTAAGTACACCGGAGAAGACCCAGCACTGGCCATACTTGACCAGTGTCTTGGTGCTATAGTATAAATTACTTACAGGTGGTATAAGTACACCAGAGAAGACCAAGCACTGGCCATACTTGACCAATCTCTTGGTGCTATAGTATTAATTACTTACAGATGGTAAGTACACAGGTGAAGACCGAGCACTGGCCGTACTTGACCAAGCCCCAGCACTGGCCATACTTGACCAATGTCTTGGTGCTATAGTATTAATTACTAACAGGTGGTAAGTACACAGGAGAAGACCGAGCACTGGCCGTACTTGACCAAGCCCAAGAACTGGCCATACTTGACCAATGTCTTGGTGCTATAGGATTAATTACTAACAGGTGGTAAAGATAAGTACACTGGAGAAGACACAGCACTGGCCGTACTTAAGCAGTGTCTTGGTGCTATAGTATTAATTACTAACAGGTGGTAAATATAAGTACACTGGAGAAGACACAGCACTGGCCGTACTTAAGCAGTGTCTTGGTGCTATATAGTATTAATAACTAACAGGTGGTAAGTACACTGGAGAAGACCCAGCACTGGCCGTACTTAAGCAGTGTCTTGGTGCTATAGTATTAATTACTAACAGGTGGTAAGTACACAGGAGAAGACCTAGCACTGGCTGTACTTGACCAGTGTATCGGTGCTATAGTATTAATAACTTACAGGTGGTTAGTACACCAGAAAAGACCGGGCCAGCACTGGCCATACTTAAGCAGTGTCTTGGTGCTATCGTATTAATTACTTACAGGTGGTTAGTACACCGGAGAAGACCCAGCACTGGCCGTACTTTACCGGTCTCTTGGTACTATAGTATTGCTCCAGTATCGCTACACTTCCTGCCCAGCTTGTTGGGGATTTGCCCCCCTCATATTTGCCGGACCAGTTGCCTGCCAGTACACCGTTATCTCCAATGTTGTTTACCTGAAGGTAGGTAATTCACATGTCACATACTCTATATAACACACGGTATATTTATCATTATGGACATTTGATGAGGTAAATATGTGGTTATATGGACCTGAGAAGAGATATACTCTTATTTACTGAGACAAAGTCTAGAAGTGATGTCATTTAGGGATATTTAATATTTCTTTTGAAAGAAATGTTTGTCCCAAGGTCGTTTACCTTAAATTTGCGGGTATAGTGCGCAGGTACATTTTTGGGGGCAGATTTGAAAGGAAAAAAATAATGAAAAACGACAACGATAACCCAAGAATGACTTGTTCATGAGCGCACTCCCTTTTTGACATGACAATATTTACCTAAAAAAGTGTACACTATAAGGCAAATTTACAGTAAGTCTTATCTGGTAATAAACGACTCCTACTGCCCCTAATAGAATGCCATATATAATGCCAACAAAAATTTGTTTGTTTCAATATTGGTATGTGTGCAATTAGTTATGATAAGTAATAACTGCCATGGGGATTTGATCGGCTCGTATGCTATCCAATGCGCCACCTGACCACCAGAGTATGATTTTACTTTCTACAACATCCATGAAACAATTTAATTTTACTAAGTAATATAGCTGGTACAAATATACTTTCTTCTGGTCACATTTCAAACAAGAGGCCCAGAGGGCCTGTACCGCTCACCTGGAAATGTTAGCAAAATTTAAGTTGAAATAACCAGATGTTGCTGTACATGTGTTACATATTTAGTCAGGGGTTATATTTATATGCAATTGGATAAAATCTTGTCATTCCTACAGGAAAAGGAGAATTTTGAAGAATTTGCTATGTTTCCACAATTGGGCCCCGCCCCTCTGCACCCAGGGGGGTCAGACCCACAGTTCCCCCTCACCCAAGGATGCTTTGTACCAAATTTAGACAAAATCCTGTCATTCCTATAAAAGAAGAACGATTTTAAAACCATTTTTCTGTTTTTCCTATTTGGCCCTGCCCCTCTGCCCCTCTGCCCCTCTGCCCCAGGGGTTAAAACCCAAAGTTTATACAAAACTGGTTCCCCTTCATCAAAGTCACTTTTGACAAAATCCTGTCATTCCTACAAAAGAAGAAGCTTGCTCTGTTTTCACTATTAGACCCAACATTTATACAAATATAGTCTCCTTCACCAAAGGGTGCTTCATACCAAATTTAGTCAAAATCTGCTTGGCCGTTCAGTACCAGTAGCTTTTAAAGGAAAAGTTGATGGAGGGACGACGGACGCTGCGGTATGGCATACGCTCACCATGGTCCTTTCGGACCAGGTGAGCTAATAATTTTACATTTTGTTACAAAAATACATCAGAAGGGTTCTTAAAGTACATTTGTCTGTCACTTTGTTACAATAAGAGCTTATTATAATGTTTTACCCATAGGTACTACAGTTTGTGTAGATATAATTGTGATGGGTGTATTTTGCACTGCCTGTACAGTACTATTATTTTGTAAGTACAGAGTTGTGATGGGGATATATTGTTCCGCCCCTGTGGTAATTGTTCTACTGTAGGGATTATTCCACCCCTGTGGTACCCATGTTTCTATAGTTGTTTCTGATTTAGTACAACTCATTCCATCACTGTCAAGTCTATTATGAACTTGTTAGAAAACAGTTTTATGTATCAACATCTTTCACAAGCGACTTATCAAAGCGGTCAGTTTGCGACTTACCAAAGCGGTCAGTTTGCGACTTACCAAAGCGGTCAGTTTGCGGACTACCAGTACAGAGCTGGCACAGGCTTTCATGTCTATTCCACTTCCGTGGAGAAGGTCAAGGACACAGTCGAGAATTACATCATCAAACTAAAATGTACCAACATAATTAATTTGTTTTTTCGTTCTATAGTATCTGACTTTCCATTCTAAAACTACACAGGTAAACAAATTATTAAAACCCTAGTGCCTATAGCCAACCTAGGAGTCATTAATCTGACAGTCTGTTAATGTGAATTGTTAGAATTTGTGAGATACATATATTTTCATCTAACATCTTAAGAAAATTAAGTGTTGTACATTTTTTAAATGTCACAAAAATGTTATTGAACATGACAGCATTTAACAATTACAAATAAATAACCAGCCGTATTGTTATATATATAGGATTACTGCTATGTATATAGGATCATTAGGTCCAAGACTTTAATCAATCTGTATCTGTTTTGGTCCTAGACTTTAATCAATCTGTATCTGTTTTGGTCTTTATATAGACTTTAATCAATCTGTATCTGTTTTGGTCCTAGACTTTTATCAACCTGTATCTGTTTTGGTCCTAGACTTTAATCAATATGAATCTGTTTTGGTCCTATCCTTGTCTTTATAAGTATCCGAGTGCTACTTATAGATGCTATCTCTTGTCTTTCTCTAACGTACCTGTCCAAAGTTCCAGGAACGAGGTTTAATCCTTCTTTTACTTCCGTAGTAGATCCTTCCAGAATCATTGAGTACATACTCTTTCAGGAGACCTTCCTCGCCAAGGAAGACAGTGTCCTCTGTAACAAACACACACCCTTGTCACAATCTAATGAACTCGCAGTACCCTTGTTACAACCTTGGTACAATTTTGTTTACTGTGCTGATTCAAAACAGAGAAAACCTGATAATAAATGTTTCCGTAATCTATAAAATTTAATATTCTTGAACTGGTTTTTGGTACAAGTGCATCAATCAATGAAACTCCAATGTTTATCTAGCATGCATCATCACGGTATACCTACATATGTAGCTTGTAATTCATTACTTTATGCATTACTTGCATTTTGTATAGAGTTGCTTGTACTTTCATTGCACTTTAGTATAAGTAAAAAAAACCACTTTAGTATAAGTAAAAAAAAAAAAAAAAAAAGGTCTCATATAGGAGGTTATATAATCAAGTAACAATTCCTGTGGTCAGATTATTTAGATTATAATTCCATACTTTACATTATTATAAGCCACATATACTTGTTTGCCCACCTTTGCACCAAGGATTGAAGAGGATATAGATCTTGTGTTCTTCTTTGTAAATCTTGTATGCGTAGGGAGTGTCTTTGCCTCTGCTGTTTCTGTTGGAGACCCTGATGTGGAATCCCCAGCGCCCAATGATACAGTCCGGAGCGGGCCGTACACTGACAATCAGTTTTGTCTCTTCGGCACTCTCTATTTTGGCATTCCACTTATTCTTCTCCTCTTTTCCGTCTAGGTCCACCTTGATCAGAGTGCGTTTGGTCTGAGTGGGACAATTTCCTGTGGAATGACAAATAACAGCTAAAATCTATGTGTGTTCTCTGAATGATCTGTGTGACATATGTGTGTTCTCTGAATGATCTGTGTGATATATGTGTGTTCTCTGAATGATCTGTGTGATATATGTGTGTTCTCTGAATGATCTGTGTGATATATGTGTGTTCTCTGAATGATCTGTGTGATATATGTGTGTTCTCTGAATGATCTGTGTGATATATGTGTGTTCTCTGAATGATCTGTGTGATATATGTGTGTTCTCTGAATGATCTGTGTGATATATGTGTGTTCTCTGAATGATCTGTGTGATATATGTGTGTTCTCTGAATGATCTGTGTGATATATGTGTGTTCTCTGAATGATCTGTGTGATATATGTGTGTTCTCTGAATGATCTGTGTGATATATGTGTGTTCTCTGAATGATCTGTGTGATATATGTGTGTTCTCTGAATGATCTGTGTGATATATGTGTGTTCTCTGAATGATCTGTGTGATATATGTGTGTTCTCTGAATGATCTGTGTGATATATGTGTGTTCTCTGAATGATCTGTGTGATATATGTGTGTTCTCTGAATGATCTGTGTGATATATGTGTGTTCTCTGAATGATCTGTGTGATATATGTGTGTTCTCTGAATGATCTGTGTGATATATGTGTGTTCTCTGAATGATCTGTGTGATATATGTGTGTTCTCTGAATGATCTGTGTGATATATGTGTGTTCTCTGAATGATCTGTGTGATATATGTGTGTTCTCTGAATGATCTGTGTGATATATGTGTGTTCTCTGAATGATCTGTGTGATATATGTGTGTTCTCTGAATGATCTGTGTGATATATGTGTGTTCTCTGAATGATCTGTGTGATATATGTGTGTTCTCTGAATGATCTGTGTGATATATGTGTGTTCTCTGAATGATCTGTGTGATATATGTGTGTTCTCTGAATGATCTGTGTGATATATGTGTGTTCTCTGAATGATCTGTGTGATATATGTGTGTTCTCTGAATGATCTGTGTGATATATGTGTGTTCTCTGAATGATCTGTGTGATATATGTGTGTTCTCTGAATGATCTGTGTGATATATGTGTGTTCTCTGAATGATCTGTGTGATATATGTGTGTTCTCTGAATGATCTGTGTGATATATGTGTGTTCTCTGAATGATCTGTGTGATATATGTGTGTTCTCTGAATGATCTGTGTGATATATGTGTGTTCTCTGAATGATCTGTGTGATATATGTGTGTTCTCTGAATGATCTGTGTGATATATGTGTGTTCTCTGAATGATCTGTGTGATATATGTGTGTTCTCTGAATGATCTGTGTGATATATGTGTGTTCTCTGAATGATCTGTGTGATATATGTGTGTTCTCTGAATGATCTGTGTGATATATGTGTGTTCTCTGAATGATCTGTGTGATATATGTGTGTTCTCTGAATGATCTGTGTGATATATGTGTGTTCTCTGAATGATCTGTGTGATATATGTGTGTTCTCTGAATGATCTGTGTGATATATGTGTGTTCTCTGAATGATCTGTGTGATATATGTGTGTTCTCTGAATGATCTGTGTGATATATGTGTGTTCTCTGAATGATCTGTGTGATATATGTGTGTTCTCTGAATGATCTGTGTGATATATGTGTGTTCTCTGAATGATCTGTGTGATATATGTGTGTTCTCTGAATGATCTGTGTGATATATGTGTGTTCTCTGAATGATCTGTGTGATATATGTGTGTTCTCTGAATGATCTGTGTGATATATGTGTGTTCTCTGAATGATCTGTGTGATATATGTGTGTTCTCTGAATGATCTGTGTGATATATGTGTGTTCTCTGAATGATCTGTGTGATATATGTGTGTTCTCTGAATGATCTGTGTGATATATGTGTGTTCTCTGAATGATCTGTGTGATATATGTGTGTTCTCTGAATGATCTGTGTGATATATGTGTGTTCTCTGAATGATCTGTGTGACATATGTGTGTTCTCTGAATGATCTGTGTGACATATGTGTGTTCTCTGAATGATCTGTGTGACATATGTGTGTTCTCTGAATGATCTGTGTGACATATGTGTGTTCTCTGAATGATCTGTGTGATATATGTGTGTTCTCTGAATGATCTGTGTGATATATGTGTGATCTTTGTATGATCTGTGTGACATATGTGTGTTCTCTGAATGATCTGTGTGATATATGTTTGATATATGTGTGATCTTTGTATGATCTGTGTGATATATGTGTGATATATGTGTGATCTTTGTATGATCTGTGTGATTATGTGTGTTCTCTGAATGATCTTGTGTGACATATGTGTGTTCTCTGAAGGATCTGTGTGACATATGTGTGTTCGCTGAATGATCTGTGTGATATATGTTTGATATATGTGTGATCTTTGTATGATCTGTGTGACATATGTGTGTTCTCTGAATGATCTGTGTGATATATGTGTTCTCTGAATGATCTGTGTGATATATGTGTAATCTTTGTATGATCTGTGTGACATATGTGTGTTCTCTGAATGATCTGTGTGATATATGTGTGATCTCTGCATGATCTGTGTGATATATGTGTGATCTTTGTATGATCTGTGTGATATATGTGTGATATATGTGTGATCTTTGTATGACCCCAGTGTGTTTCTTTATTTGTGACCTCTGTGTAAAGCTCTGTTTGGACTGTGTTTGAACCTTGTGCGATCTGTGTGTGAACTATATGTGCGACCTCTGTATGATATGTGTAATCTATGTGTGAACTCTATATTGTGTGATATATGTGTGATTTCTAAATGTATCATCATAGTTTTCAACCTCACCACCTTTAAGTTTCCTAAAAGTGATATCACAGCGGACAATTATAATCTTACGCCTGTTATATCACTCGTCACATCATGATTCAGGCTCCTATAACAAGACAAATCCTTTTATGATATTTATAGTAGTGTTATATATGCTTTTGGCAAAAATTTCAAGACAGACATACCTATATCAAACTCCAGAGACATCTTGTCCTTGGACTTGTCGTAAGGACGGTCAAGCTCCACTTGAATCTTGAAGAACTGACCTCTCCTGACCACCAGTTTAGGTGCTTTATCGTCCTGTGTAATGTCATACTCGTCTGTGTGATGATCAGGACAATTCTCAGCGATGAGGAAACTCACAGACTTCACCTGGATCAGGGTTGCTAGTTCTGACTCGGGCCCTGAGGGAAAACAACACCTATATCATTACGGTGCCAGGTACATAGACGTTGTTAAAAACATTAACAATTTTTTTTCTGGCTTATGGTATTTGGCAAGTACGTATCTGGAATGAAACTGCATAAATTTTGATAATTGTTATTGACTTTGATCAATTTTTAAGGTCACAGGGGTCTTTTGGCAAAATTATTTTTTTAATTTTAAGTATGAAGATTGAGATGACATGGTCAAAACATTGATTAAAAAACCCAACCGAAATAATATGCAACTTTATAGGAATGTCTAACAAATTTGCCATGAAATGTATTCTTGTTTAAGAATTAAGGTTGTTTTCTTGCTGGGTGCTGAACACAAAAAGGAGAAATATTTCAATATTAGTTTTAATGAGAATATTTTTCTGTGATAGATTAAATATTGACGTGAGTAGTTCAGGCCCTCTGGGCCTCTAAGTTTTAAATTTCAATTGCAAACATTTCAATATTTCAACCTCAGTGATTGGTTAAGTGTCTTTGTCTACGTGTGCAGAATACTGAAACATTATACTGTACTACACCAATTTTACCTAAATCATCTTTCCTTTAGAATGTCCTGGCCTTCAGTCATTACCATTTCTATTCAGGTTTATTTGCACCGGTGACCTGGTTACCTTGAGAATGTCCTTCAGTCATTACAATTTTTATTCAGGTCTATTTATACTGGTGACCTGGTTACTATATATAGGTATGTACTGGTGACGTATATACTGGTAACCTGTTGTAACACTACCTTGAGTTGTAATAATGTCTCACGAACCCTCAATACCCTTTCAAACTAAATAGAACATCGATTGAAAAAATTAAAATCCGGCAAATGAACTGTAAACAGTCAGTGGCATTGTAAGCTAGAGATTGCATGAAGATAACCTTTTACAACATTTTTTTTTAACAATAGATTTTTGTATTACGTACATGAACGTGGTTGTGTCTGCTGATATAGGGAGTTCAGAAAACCATTTCACAGCCCACTTAATATGTACTACAGGGTTACACTCCTAAGTTCACTGTTGCTAGGTGTTCCATGAAACATGAGTTAACACATTTACCCCTGAACTTTCATAATGGACTATTCCAACCTTTGCATTGGAAGAGTTCAAATGTGTCTTCAGGGGTAAATGAGTTAAAGAGTTGGACATGCTATCATAAATTTCATATTTACTAACTTTTATTTGGAGACTCGATCTGCCAGTGACTAGGATACTTACTGTATGCATATGATAAGATTTAGACAATGCCTGATATTATATGTACTGCTGTTCAGTAGAGATGCCAACCAATTCCATTGTTCTGTAATGTCCTACATAGGAGTACTATAGTCACCCTGCTGATGTGCTGGTCCTCTGGATTTATTGTCATACAGTAGTTGGTTAAAAGTTTATTTGTTGTTTAGAGGTTCTAATTGGTCCGGAATCCAAATCTGGGCTGTATCAGTCCTACTCTGGCCTGTATCAGTCCTACTCTGGCCTGTGTCAATCCTACTCTGGCCTGTATCAGTCCTACTCTGGAATGTATTAATCCTACTCTGGCCTGTATCAATCCTACCCTGGCCTGTATAAACCCTACTCTGGCCTGTATCAATCCTCCTCTGGCCTGTATCAATCCTACTCTGGCCTGTATCAGTCTAACTCTGGCCTGTGTCAATCCTACCCTGGCCTGTATCAACCCTACTCTGGCCTGTATCAATCCTACCATGCCTGTATCAGTCCTACTCTGGCCTGTATCAATCCTATTCTGGCCTGTATCAATCCTATTCTGGCCTGTATCAGTCCTACTCTGGCATGTATTAATCCTACTCTGGCCTGTATCAGTCTAACTCTGGCCTGTATCAATCCTATTCTTGGCTGTATCAGTCCTACTCTGGCCTGTATCAATCCTTACCTGGCCTGTATCAATCCTACTCTGGCCTGTATCAATCCTACTCTGGCCTGTATTAATCCTATTCTGGCCTGTATCAGTCCTACTCTGGCCTGTATCAGTCCTACTCTGGCCTGTATTAATCCTACCCTGGCCTGTATCAATCCTACTCTGGCCTGTATCAGTCCTACTCTGGCCTGTATTAATCCTACCCTGGCCTGTATTAATCCTACCCTGGCCTGTATCAATCCTACTCTGGCCTGTATCAGTCCTACTCTGGCCTGTATTAATCCTACCCTGGCCTGTATCAATCCTACTCTGGCCTGTATCAGTCCTACTCTGGCCTGTATTAATCCTACCCTGGCCTGTATCAATCCTACTCTGGCCTGTATCAGTCCTACTCTGGCCTGTATTAATCCTACCCTGGCCTGTATCAATCCTACTCTGGCCTGTATCAGTCCTACTCTGGCCTGTATTAATCCTACCCTGGCCTGTATTAATCCTACCCTGGCCTGTATCAATCCTACTCTGGCCTGTATCAGTCCTACTCTGGCCTGTATTAATCCTACCCTGGCCTGTATTAATCCTACCCTGGCCTGTATCAATCCTACTCTGGCCTGTATCAGTCCTACTCTGGCCTGTATTAATCCTACTCTGGTCTGTATTAATCCTACCCTGGCCTGTATCAATCCTACTCTGGCCTGTATCAGTCCTACTCTGGCCTGTATTAATCCTACCCTGGCCTGTATTAATCCTACCCTGTCCTGTATCAATCCTACTCTGGCCTGTATCAGTCCTACTCTGGCCTGTATTAATCCTACCCTGGCATGTATCAGTCCTACTCTGGCCTGTATCAGTCCTACTCTGGTCTGTATCAGTCCAACTCTGGCCTGTATTAATCCTACCCTTGCCTGTATCAATCCTACTCTAGCCTGTATCAATCCTACCCTTGCCTGTATCAATCCTACTCTAGCCTGTTTCAATCCTACTCTGGCCTGTATCAATCCTACCATGCCTGTATTTATCCTTCTCTGGCCTGTATCAATCCTACCCTGGCCTGTATCAATCCTACTTTGACCTGTATTAATCCTAACCTGGCCTGTATCAATCCTACTCTGGCCTGTTTTAATCCTACCCTGGCCTGTATCAATCCTACTCTGGCCTGTATCAATCCTACCCTGGCCTGTATCAATCCTACTCTGGCCTGTATCAATCCTACTCTGGCCTGTATTAATCCTACCCTGGCCTGTATCAATCCTACTCTGGCCTGTATCAGTCCTACTCTGGCCTGTATTAATCCTACCCTGGCCTGTATTAATCCTACCCTGGCCTGTATCAATCCTACTCTGGCCTGTATCAGTCCTACTCTGGCCTGTATTAATCCTACCCTGGCCTGTATTAATCCTACCCTGGCCTGTATCAATCCTACTCTGGCCTGTATCAGTCCTACTCTGGCCTGTATTAATCCTACCCTGGCCTGTATTAATCCTACCCTGGCCTGTATCAATCCTACTCTGGCCTGTATCAGTCCTACTCTGGCCTGTATTAATCCTACCCTGGCCTGTATTAATCCTACCCTGTCCTGTATCAATCCTACTCTGGCCTGTATCAGTCCTACTCTGGCCTGTATTAATCCTACCCTGGCATGTATCAGTCCTACTCTGGCCTGTATCAGTCCTACTCTGGTCTGTATCAATCCAACTCTGGCCTGTATTAATCCTACCCTTGCCTGTATCAATCCTACTCTAGCCTGTATCAATCCTACCCTTGCCTGTATCAATCCTACTCTAGCCTGTTTCAATCCTACTCTGGCCTGTATCAATCCTACCATGCCTGTATTTATCCTTCTCTGGCCTGTATCAATCCTACCCTGGCCTGTATCAATCCTACTTTGACCTGTATTAATCCTAACCTGGCCTGTATCAATCCTACTCTGGCCTGTTTTAATCCTACCCTGGCCTGTATCAATCCTACTCTGGCCTGTTTTAATTCTACCCTGGCCTGTATCAATCCTACTCTGGCCTGTATCAATCCTACCCTGGCCTGTATCAATCCTACCCTGGCCTGTATCAATCGTACTCTGGCCTGTATCAATCCTACTCTGACCTGTATTAATCCTACCCTGGCCTGTATCAATCCTACTCTGGCCTGTATCAATCCTACCCTGGCCTGTATCAATCCTACCCTGGCCTGTATCAATCGTACTCTGGCCTGTATCAATCCTACTCTGACCTGTATTAATCCTACCCTGGCCTGTATCAATCCTACTCTGGTCTGTTTTAATCCTACTCTGGCCTGTATCAATCCTACTCTGACCTGTATTAATCTTACCCTGGCCTGTATCAATCCTACTCTGGCCTGTATCAATCCTACTCTGGCCTTTATTTAATCCTACCCTGGCCTGTATCAATCCTACTCTGGCCTGTATCAATCCATCTCCCTGGCCTGTATCAATCCTACTCTCACCTGTATCAATCCTACTCTGGCCTGTATCAATCCTACTCTCTGGCCTGTATCAATCCTACTCTCTGGCCTGTATCAATCCTACCCTTGTCTGTTTCAATCCTTCCCTGCCCTGTATCAATCCTACTCTGGTCTGTATCAGTCGTACTCTGGCCTGTATCAATCCTACCATGCCTGTATTTATCCTACTCTGGCCCGTATCAGTCCTACTCTGGCCTGTATCAATCCTACCCTGGCCTGTTTCAATCCTACTCTGACCTGTATCAATCCTACCATGCCTGTATTTATCCTACCCTGGCCTGTATCAGTCCTACTCTGGCCTGTATCAATCCTACCCTGGCCTGTATCAATCCTACTCTGGTCTGTATCAGTCCTACTCTGGCCTGTATCAATCCTACCATGCCTGTATTAATCCTACCCTGGCCTGTATCAATCCTACCCTGCCCTGTATTAATCCTACCGTGCCTGTATCAATCCTACCATGCCTGTATTTATCCTACTCTGGCCTGTATCAATCCTATCCTGGCCTGTATCAATCCTACTCTGGCCTGTATCAATCCTACCCTGGCCTGTATTAATCCTACCCTGGCCTGTATCAATCCTACCCTGGGCTGTATTAATCCTATCCTGGCCTGTATTAATCCTACCCTGGCCTGTATCAATGCTACTCTGGCCTGTATTAATCCTTCAGACCTACCTTATATTACTGGGTTTACTTACAAACTATCTAAAAATGGTCAAATTATGAAATACAATTCTTTCTCCATATGTTTAAACTTCATTTCATCACTCCTTTTAGCATGCAAAGACACTGGACTGGTACTTTATTTACTACCAGGTACCATACACATTAAGCTTGTGGTTTGTGGAAGAGTTATCTCCCTTAAACCTGTTATCACTGATTTTATGTAATAATTAAGAATCATTTGTATTACCCTCTCCTATCTCTTCTCATTTATTTACCCAAATATAAATTATCAATAACAAAATAAACTGATTCCCAATTTTACATTAAACAAACTACCAATTATAAAAATAATTATCAATTTTGAATATAAACAAATTATCAATTATGAAAATAATAATTGCAAATTATAACATAAACAAACTATCAATTTTGAATATAAACAAATAAACAATTATAAGTAATTAAGTTACCAATTATAATTACTGGTATATTATTAACAAACAACCAATTATATAAATAACCAGATACAAAATAAAGAAACAACCAAATATTACATTAAATAACTAATAATAATCATATTGCCAACTTCTGCAAAAGTAAAACTCTTTTAGATAGAAGATATGTCCTTTAAAGTAAGTAGCCTTTATCCCTAAATTAAAGATATAATGTAAAGAATTTGTGCCTCTACTCGGGATGAAACCAGTGACCCCACACTAATTTGATGCTGTATATAGCTAGCTGATGTTAGTAAGGCAAAACTGTCATTATTTACAATACATGTTCAAATGTCCCCTTGCCAGGCTCTCACTGTACTTAAAACAAAGGTTGGTCACGGGCACTAGTTCGTAATAGGAAGTGGTGTTGGGGAAAGCCAGAGTTCCCGGAGAAAAACCACCTCCCTACGGCCAGTACCTGGCGACCGCCCCACGTAGGCCTCGAACCCGTGACCCAGTGGAAGAGGGCTACTGGTAGCAGATATACCTGTCTGTGATAGTATGTAATACCTCTATGATATAATATAAATGTGTAATACCTCTCTAGGTGTACATCCTCAATACTCCGGGAGTTACGCTCACTTTCGCTCAGAGCTTCTGAGCTTCCAGAAAACTTCATTCAAAGAAGGTTTCATACTTCAGAGTATTATAGGTGAAGACATTTATTTTGACATCTTGTAATATAGGAGTAATGCAATGGACACTGGCTCCTCAGGGGATCAAACCACTGTGACCCTACACTTTATAGTCCAACTCTCTACCACTGAGCTTAACCCTTTCACCCCTATGTAACTCTAATTGGCCGACCTGGATAAGTCCATTATCCTCTACAGTGGTGAAAGGGTTAAGGGTCCCTGTCACACTGCAGGCAAAACACGAGAGAACTCCACTGTGAATTTTCATATTGACAGTTACACCCCCCCCCCCCCCCCCCCCCCCCCCCTCCACTTTATTTTAGATATATGTAAAAGGGAATTTCCCTTTAGCTCAGCTCAACGGTAGAGCATCGGGCTGGAGAGCCAATGGTCACAGGTTCGATGCCCAGCGACGGCACTATCTTTATCACTATTCCTTGTCCTACTACATATAACTGTCGTGCAGTTACGGGCCAGGCCACTTTTAGATTTGTTGAGCAGGTAATAGCTCAATTGGTTAGAGTTACATTATAGCAATCCAGGATTTGAATCCAGGTCTTGTCCTACTGAGTTTTTACATTCAGAACACATTTTATTTATGTCAGCTTTATAAAAAAAAAAAATCTCCATAAAAATCTTGCAATGAATGGTGTCCTTCCAAGTAATGGTTTATTGAATGTTAGCTTTCTACAGTTTTTGGCTGTGGAACTGAAGATAGCAATATGTCCCTTTTACATTTAAAATGCAAATCAATATCCTATACACTGTCCCGCCTCTATTCCCGTACATGAAGTAAGGAATGAGACACCACATTGTAGTATACTACTGCTCGCGTGTATAATGTTTTATTGATACCACTGAAACCCTTTATCAGTTTATAGTGTAAAAGACGCAGTCCATGTGGATCTGTTCGTATTGAAGTGAGTTGAATACTCTCCCAATCAAAACAGTATGTGATACAGTCCAGTATAGAGAATTAAGTGTTCACCTATACATAAAACAAATCAATATAGTATGTTACAAAAATTATAACTACCTGCTTGCTTTTCCTCGTTGACAACAAAAGTGACCGGTGGATTGGACCGTCCAGCTATCTGCCTGTTTCCAGAGGAGGAGGAGGAGCCCCCTGAGGGGGAGGAATTGCCACTGCCCATTGTTAGAGAAGCGTTACACGGGTACTGCGGTCGAGGTGGCAGTTATAGATACAGTTAGATACAGGTCATGTTTACATCTATCTCCACTAAACTTTACCGTTACTAAGGAGCAGTCAGGTGCATCCCATCACAGGTGTAGCTCAACCAACCGTGACAGCTAAAAACAGGTTCGAAGTAATACCCAGGTAAACTGCAGGTACTAACTTACACCTCACTCTTTGATGACCTCGTCAGCAAATCTTAGGTCACCAACACACTCATATTCAGACTCAACATAAACCTACTCGGGTGGAAAAAGTACAGTAATTTGAATTTGGTGGAATGGTCTAGCAAACACAACACAAAAAAACATCTGTATAATAGTGTTTTGGGGAGGATTTTATATGCTGATTGACATTACATTCAAGGTAATGAATTGGCCATGCATGAAATTAGGACGTGGTGCTGTCAGTTATTTTTCTATACAATGTATTTGGTTAGGCTTGGTAACAGTCGCTATATTGCTGTTAGAGTGTCTCTTTAATCACCAGTACTATATATATGGAGAACAGGTGAAAACAGGTATCCTGTAATTCAATACAACCTAAGTTTACAACAATAACATGTGTGTACCTATGTATAGATCATGACAAGTTACAACAAATATACAGGTCTATAGACACAGAACCTGTGTATTGTCTGTTTAACGTCAAAGTAGTTACCTTGACCTCTATTTCCTTATTATGAAAGGTATACAATTATTTATCACATAATCGGCCTGTTATCCAGTGAATTTGCCCTTGTAATATTTTTACATATGTTACTATTTTAATATACCTTGGAGCGTTTTTCATGAAACTCATCTCAAAGTTTCAATTTTTGCTCGCCAAGGCTTGCAAAAATAAAAACTCCTAAGACTTGTTTCATAAAATCTCATATGAAACGAAAACTCATTTAAGATCCTATATTAATCTATATAAGTATAGGTCTAGGACCTGTTAATTGTCTATCCCTATTTGTGACCTTGACCTCTAAAACCTTATTACAGTAGGTGTGTAATTTTATAAGTACCTAGGTATACAATTTGTTTGTCTATCCCTGTGTGTGACCTTGACCTCTAAAACCTTATTTTGAAAGGTATATAATTTTATAAGTACCTAGGCATAAAACATGTAAATTGTCTATCCCTGTGTGTGACCTTGACCTGAAAACCTTATTTTGAAAGGTTAATAATTGTATAAGTAACTAGGCATAAAACAAGTAAATTGTCTATCCCTGTGTGTGACCTTGACCTCTAAACTGAAAACAATTACTGTGTTAAAATCTGCTTCACATTCCTTGTTTCACTGAAAAACAATTACTGTGTTAAAATCTGCTCCACATTCCTTGTTTCACTGAAATCAATTACTGTGTTAAAATCTGCTTTCACTGAAATCAATTACTGTGTTAAAATCTGCTCCACATTCTTTGTTTCACTGAAATCAATTACTGTGTTAAAATCTGCTCCACATTCCTTGTTTCACTGAAATCAATTACTGTGTTAAAATCTGCTCCACATTCCTTGTTTCACTGAAAACTATTACTGTATACAGAGAAATATTTGCTAGTTTAATTTCCGCCTTTTTCACCCTCCGTGATGAGGGCCAATTTATCATAACAGCAAATATAATCAAACGACATAAAAGAAGTAGTAATTAAATGGGAGGGATGAAATTAACACTGGGCAAAAATTGATTTCATGGGCAAAGGTCAAAAGTTTGACTAGGCGAAAATTTCTCAAATATACAGTATTTCACCCTGACCATGTATGTGACCTTAGATATGTTATACTTAATAATCAGATGATGATGAATACATGTAGGAAGGTTTTGTTGGATTTTGTGTTTTCTGTTTAAATCAACTCATTCCCTGAGCTGGGAGACAAGATAAGAGAAATCATCAGTGGACGAAGTAAACAAATATATTGTTTTATTTCAAGTTGAACTGACAGACATACAGCTGTATACTCATCCATTGTATAGTGTAGATTCCGGGACAAAAGATAAAGTTTGTGGTATTTATAACCCCTAGGTCAAATATGGACATATATGTTATTACATGTTATAATATTAGAATATTTTAGGTTGAAGGTACATGTACATTGTATATGTATTATGGTATTTTCAGTTTGAATTCCTTTCATCATTTTTCAAATCAAGAGAAAAGATATATCACTAGCACAAGACATCTGTATTGCATTACCGGGAGGCACGGTAGCCTAGTGTTAGGTTGCTGAGCTCATGACCGAAGGGTTGCAGGTTCGAGTCACGGCACGGCACGGCACGGCACGGCACTGTGTTGTATATTTGAGCAAGATACTTTACTCCGCTTGTTCCAGTCTACTCAGCTGCAAATGAGTACGTGGTTGGGCAGCGCTAGAATTGTTGAATGCTAGCTGTTAGCGCTGAAATGGCAGCTCCGGCTGTATGGTCCCCAGGGAATTGAGAAAGATATTGGGTGGTTGCAAAGGCCCTATAACGACGGATATAATTTGCGAACCGCTTTGAGATGACCTACGAACTAGGTTGTGATAAAGTGGTATATATGAATCTCAAATTATTATTATTATTATTATTACTAGCCAGCTACCAACATTAAAGTAGTGCCAGTGTTATATCTCCATTGAAGGAGAGTTCTAATTTGTCGGCATTTTTATGACTTAGAGTTGCTTACCATTGACTACAGCAAAGAGTTTTATGTAAATGGTAAGTGGAAGTTTAATAATTTTCTTTTTTCACAAAAATACCTTCATCTTTATCATCATATAGGGAGTTTATCCACTGTGCTGCCTGATGTATTTGTCATGGTAGTATTTTTATGCAACATTAGTTGTGAATAAAAGATTCTAATTCCTTAACAAAGGAAATGTTACTGTTTTGTATGAAAACACAGGATATCATTTAAATTAACAGGAAAAGAACTTTCTAGGCCCGACATAAAAACTGGTTGGACTCTAGCTGAAAATGGTGCCTCATCGGTATAATAATGCCAAAAATAATAAACAAGAAAAACAATTTTATAGAAATTTAATGACACATCAGACAATACAATAATGGTAATTCTGAGCAGATTAAAGCAAATATTAAAAATAAATAACATTACAACTTAGGTAGGAATACCAGCGTTGTAAATAAAGAGGACATCGTATATATCATCACCTAGATATGTATCCAATAGTAACAGTAAAAACTCACAGTTCGTAGTATTTATACTGTATGCTGCGAAAACTTCACTTTGACAAATAAACACCCTTCACCGATAAAATAAAAAAAAATAAAAAAATCCATTTTTGCCCAATGAAAATTATAGCATATAATTGCTATATAAGGTATGCTCTGTGCTAAAATTACAAACTTAACCTCAATATGGAGGTGGTAAAAGGTGGAAGTTAAACTGCTGTGTAGGTTTCCCAACATACATTTCCAACAGGAGACTGTATATCACCATAGAGACGAGACAATATAAAAATATAAAATTTATTTATTTTACAACAATTATGAAACAAGTTTTAATCACTCTTGTTGGCCCAGATGTAAGCATGTGGGGGGTCTTAGTGTGGGAGGAAACCGGAGTACCCAGAGAAAACCCATGTTGTTGGGCAGGTGACCCCAACATTTTCATGTCCGATCGGGGAATCAAACCCCGGCTGCCTTGGTGAAAGGCAAGACCGCTATACACCGCACCATCCGACCACCCTGAAAAAAGAGACAATATAAACACTAACAGTACATGTTACATATAGCTAAAACAATATAAAGGAAATTGTACTTCATTTGACAACAGCACTAAAACTACATGTACATATTTTTATGTAAAAATCTATACATAAAGAGTGTCAGTTTTCCATATTGATTCATCTCTGGTAACATCTTTTATTCATATGGACATTATAGTTATTTACATGTTCTTGTAATAGTAAGCTTATGTAAAGCAATACACGAATAACATTGAAATTGCAATGGAGTATATTATGTACACATTCCACTGAGTATAAAAATATAGTAATAATACCACACAGGGAAATGCTATGTCACCATACCACACAGGGACATGCTATGTCACCATACCACACAGGGACATGCTATGTCACCATACCACACAGGGACATGTTATGTCACCATACCACACAGGGACATATAATGTCACCATACAACACAGGGACATGTTATGTCACCATACCAAACAGGGACATGTTATGTCACCATACCACACAGGGACATGTTATGCCCCCATACCAACCAGGAACATGTTAGTCACCATACCACGCAGGGACATGTTATGTCACCATTCCACACGGGGACATGTTATGTCCCCATACCACACGGGGACATGTTATGCCACCAGACAACTCAGGGAAATGTTATGCCACCATACCCCACAGAGAAATGTTAGTCACCATACCACACAGAGACATGATATGTCACCATACCGCACAGGGACATGTTAGTCAACATCCCACACAGGGAAATGTTATGCCCCCATACCAACCAGGAACATGTTAGTCACCATACCCCACAGGGACATGTTATGTCACAATACCACACAGGGACATATAATGTCCCCATACAACACAGGGACATGTTATGTCTCCATACCAAACAGGGACATGTTATGTCATCATACCACACAGGGACATGTAAGTCACCATACCTCACAGGGAAATGTTATGCAACCATACCACACAGGGACCTGTTAGTCACCATACCACACAGGGACATGTTAGTCACCATACCACACAGGGAAATGTTATGCAACCATACCACACAGGGACATGTTAGTCACCATACCACACAGGGACTTGTTAGTCACCATACCACGCAGGGACATGTTATGTCCCCATACCACACAGGGACTTGTTAGTCACCATACCACAAAGGGACCTTTTATGCCACCATACCACACAGGGACCTGTTAGTCACCATCCCACACAGGGAAATGTTATGTCATCATACAACACAGGGACAGGTTATGTCACCATACCACACGGGGACATGTTATGCCACCATTCCACACAGGGGCATGTTATGTCACCATACCACACGGGGACATGTTAGTCACCTTACCACACAGGGACATGTGATGTCACCATACCACACAGTAACATGTTATGCCACCATACGACACAGGGACATGTTATGTCACGATACCACACAGGGACATTTTATGTCACCATACTACACAGGGACATGCCATGTCCCTGTGTGGTAGGGTGACTAACATGTCCCCGTGTGGAATGGTGACATAACATGTCCATGTGTGGTATGGTGACACCCTTAAGTACAGCTATGTGGAGGTCAAAGTTAACTATACACCTCATTGTAAATAGGTACTGAAACCTAGGTTTCAGTACCTATTTACAATGAGGTGTATAGTTAACTTAGACCTCCACATAGCTGTACTTAAGGGTGTCACCATACCACACAGTGACATGTTATGCCACCATTCCACACAGGGGCATGTTATGTCACCATATCACACAGGGACATGTTAAGCCACCATACCACACAGAGAAATGTTATGTCACCATACAACACAGGGACATGTTCTGTCACCATACCACACAGTGACATGTTATGCCACCATACCACACAGAGAAATGTTATGTCACCATACCACAAAGGGACCTTTTATGCCACCATACCACACAGAGAAATGTTATGTCACCATACAACACAGGGACATGAAATGTCACCATACCACACAGGGACATGTTATGTCACCATACCACACAGGGACATGATATGTCACCATACCACACAGGGACATGTTATGTCATCATACCATACAGGGACATGCCATGCCACATTACCACACCGGGACATGATATACCACATACCACACATGGACATGCTATATCCCCATACCACACAGGGACAGCACTTTTTGTTTTGATACAATATTATTTCTATCTCAATATTTCATATTTTCTGAAGAAACTTTTTCATGTTTGATATAAAGACATACAATTGTATTATTGATAACCCTAGGGATTCCTAGGGGTCTTATGACATTGACTTTAGATGTTTTCCCTATTATTTTGTGTCTCTGGAAAACACTGTTCATGGTACTGAGCATTAAGTAAACTGTTTATGATAATGATACAGGAGCATTACAAGTCCTGATCCACTGTTTATAGGTAATACACAGCAGCCTGTTAGTCCAAACACAGCTTACTGTATCACTTCTTGTTAATAATCCCCAAATCTAAAAGGAAATAGTTGCCTTTATCAACCTTTATGACCTTGACCTCTAGTTCTCCTTGACCTCTATTTCATGGCTGCCATTTATATCCACAATCTCTTTAGAGTCAAAGTTGGCGATGATCGTCCTGGTGCCAGGTTTGGAAGCAGTCATCTCCATATCATAATTGAAGGTTTGTTGGGCTCCCACAGAACTGTTAAGGGTATAAAATGAGTTGTATAGATAACTTTGACCTCCACATAGCTGTAATTAAGGGGGTTCATATTTACAATAAGGTGTATAGTTAACTTTGGCCTCCACATAGCTGTAAGTCACCATACCACACAGAGACATGTTATGTCATCATACCATACAGGGACATGCTATGCCACATTACAACACAGGGACATGTTAGTCACCATACCACACAGGAACATGTTATGTCACCATTCCACAAAGGGACATGTTATGTCACCCTACCACACAGGGACATGCTATGTCACCATACCACACAGAGACATGTTATGTCATCATACCATACAGGGACATGCTATGCCACATTACAACACAGGGACATGTTAGTCACAATACCACACAGGGACATGATATGTAACCATACCACACAGGGAAATGCTATGTCACCATACCACACGGGGACATGTTATGTCACCCTACCACACAGGGACATGTTATGCCACCCTTCCGCACAGGGACATGTTATGCCACCATACCACACAGGGACAAGTTATGTCCCTGTGTGGTTTGGTGACATAACATGTCCCCGTGTGGAATGGTGACATAAAAGGTCCCTGTGTGGAATGGTGACATAACATGTCACCATACCACACGGGGACATGTTATGTCACCAAACCACACAGGGACATGTTAGTCACCATACCACACAGGAACATGTTATGTCACCATTCCACAAAGGGACATGTTATGTCATCATACCATACAGGGACATGCTATGCCACATTACAACACAGGGACATGTTAGTCACCATACCACACAGAGACATGTTATGTCATCATACAACACAGGGACATGTTAGTCACAATACCACACAGGGACATATAATGTCACCATACAACACAGGGAAATGTTATGCCACCATACCACACAGGGAAATGTTATGCCACCATACCACACAGGGAAATGCTATGTCACCATACCACACAGAGACATGTTATGTCATCATACCATACAGGGACATGCTATGCCACATTACAACACAGGGACATGTTATGCCACCATACCACACAGGGGCATGTTATGTCACCATATCACACAGGGACATTTTATTTCACCATACCACACAGGGACAAGTTATGTCCCTGTGTGGTATGGTGACTTACAGCTATGTGGAGGACAAAGTTAACTAAACACCTCATTGTAAATATGGACCCCCTTAATTACAGCTATATGGAGGTCAAAGTTAACTCTCCACCTCATTGTAAATATGTCCCCCCTTAATTACAGCTATGCGGAGGTCAAACTTTACTATACACCCCATTGTAAATATGTACCACCTTAATTAAAGCTATGTGGAGATCAAAGTTAACTATACACATCATTGTAAATATGTACCACCTTAATTAAAGCTATGTGGAGATCAAAGTTAACTATACATCTTATTGTAAATATGAACCCCCTTAATTACAGCTATGGGGAGGACAAAGTTATCTATACAACATATGTACCACCTGAATTACAGCTATGTGGAGTTCAAAGTTAACTATACACCTAATTGTAAATATGTGCCCCCTTAATTACAGCTATGCGGAGGTCAAACTTTACTATACATCTCCTTGTAAATATGTACCCCCGGAAGTACAGCTATGTGGAGGTCCAAGTTAACTATCCGCCTCATTGTAAATATGTAGCCCCTTAATTACAGCTATATGGAGGTCAAAGTTAACTATTCGCCTCAATGTTAATATGTCCCCCCTTAATTACAGCTATGCGGAGGTCAAACTTTACTATACATCTCCTTGTAAATATGTACCCCCGGAAGTACAGCTATGTGGAGGTTAAAGTTAACTATACACCTAATTGTAAATATGTGCCCCCTTAATTACAGCTATATGGAGGTCAAAGTTAACTCTCCACCTCATTGTAAATATGAACCCCCTTAATTACAGCTATATGGAGGTCAAAGTTAACTATTCGCCTCAATGTTAATATGTCCCCCCTTAATTACAGCTATGGGGAGGACAAAGTTATCTATACAACATATGTACCACCTGAATTACAGCTATGTGGAAGTCAAAGTTAACTATACCCCTCATTGTAAATATGTGCCCCCTTAATTACAGCTATGTGGAGATCAAAGTTAACTATACATCTTATTGTAAATATGAACCCCCTTAATTACAGCGGACCATCAAACAAAGGTAAGTACTGCAACCTAGGTCAAAGTTAACTATACCCCTCATTGTAAATATGTCCCCCCTTAATTACAGCTATATGGAGGTCAAAGTTAACTAAACACCTCATTGTAAATATGGACCCCCTTAATTACAGCTATATGGAGGTCAAAGTTATCTATACAACATATGTACCACCTGAATTACAGCTATGTGGAGGGCAAAGCTAACTATACACCTCATTCTTAATATGTACCCCCTTACAGCTATGTGAAGGTCAAAAATTACTATACACCTCATTGTAAATAATAACCCCCTTAATTACAGCGGACCATCAAACAAAGGTAGGTACTGAAACCTAGGCCCATTAAACAAAGGTAGGTACTGAAAGCTAGGACCATTAAACAAAGGGAAGTACTGAAACATAGGACCATCAAACAAAGGTAAGTACGTAACATACACCCTTAAGTCACCGTGTTACAGAGGTAACATACACCCTTAAGTTAACATGTTACAGAGGTAACATACACCATGAAGTTTACATACCTCTGTGACATGTAAACTTCATGGTGTATGTTACCTCTGTCACATGTAAACTTCATGGTGTATGTTACCTCTGTCACATGTAAACTTCATGGTGTATGTTACCTCTGTAACATGTTAACTTAAGGGTGTATGTTACGTACTTACCTTTGTTTGATGGTCCGCTGTAATTAAGGGGGTACATATTTACAATGAGGTGTATAGTAAAGTTTGACCTCCACATAGCTGTAATTAAGGGGGTACATATTTACAATGAGGTGTATATTAAAGTTTGACCTCCACATAGCTGTAATTAAGGGGGTACATATTTACATTGAGGTGTATAGTTAACTTTGACCTTCACATAGCTGTAAGGGGGTAGATATTAACAATGAGGTGTATAGTAAACTTTGACCTTCACATAGCTGTAAGGGGGTACATATTTACAATGAGGTGTATAGTTAACTTTGACCTTCACATAGCTGTAAGGGGGTACATATTAACAATGAGGTGTATAGTAAACTTTGACCTTCACATAGCTGTAAGGGGGATACACATTTACAAAGAGGTGAATAGTTAACTTTGACCTAGGTTGCAGTACTTACCTTTGTTTGATGGTCCTAGGTTTCAGTACTTACCTTTGCTCGATGATCCTAGGTTTCAGTACCTACCTTTGTTTGATGGTCCTAAGTTTCAGTACCTACCTTTGTTCGATGGTCCTAAGTTTCAGTACCTACCTTTGTTTCATGGTCCTAAGTTTCAGTACCTACCTTTGTTCGATGGTCCTAAGTTTCAGTACCTACCTTTGTTTCATGGTCCTAAGTTTCAGTACCTACCTTTGTTTGTTGGTCCTAAGTTTCAGTACCTACCTTTGTTTCATGGTCCTAAGTTTCAGTACCTACCTTTGTTTGATGGTCCTAGGTTTCAGTACCTACCTTTGTTTAATGGTCCTAGGTTTCAGTACCAACCTTTGTTTGATGGTCCTATGTTTCAGTACCTACCTTTGTTTAATGGTCCTAGGTTTCAGTACCTACCTTTGTTTAATGGTCCTATGTTTCAGTACTTCCCTTTGTTTGATGGTCCTAGGTTTCAGTACCTACCTTTGTTTAATGGTCCTAGGTTTCAGTACCTACCTTTGTTTGATGGTCCTAGGTTTCAGTACTTACCTTTGTTTGATGGTCCTAGGTTTCAGTACCTTCCTTTGTTTGATGGCCCTATGTTTCAGTACCTTCCTTTGTTTGATGGTCCTATGTTTCAGTACTTACCTTTGTTTGATGGTCCTATGTGTCAGTACTTACCTTTGTTTGATGGTCCTAGGTTTCAGTACTTGCCTTTGTTTGATGGTCCTATGTTTCAGTACCTACCTTTGTTTGATGGTCCTAAGTTTCAGTACCTACCTTTGTTTGATGGTCCTAGGTTTCAGTACTTGCCTTTGTTTGATGGTCCTATGTTTCAGTACCTACCTTTGTTTGATGGTCCTAAGTTTCAGTACCTTCCTTTGTTTGATGGCCCTATGTTTCAGTACCTTCCTTTGTTTGAAGGTCCTTGGTTTCAGTACTTACCTTTGTTTGATGGTCCTATGTGTCAGTACTTACCTTTGTTTGATGGTCCTAGGTTTCAGTGCTTACCTTTGTTTAATGGTCCTAGGTTTCAGTACTTACCTTTGTTTGCTGGTCCTAGGTTTCAGTACCTACCTTTGTTTGATGGTCCTAGGTTTCAGTACCTTCCTTTGTTTGATGGTCCTAGGTTTCAGTACCTACCTTTGTTTAATGGTCCTAGGTTTCAGTACCTACCTTTGCTTGGTGGTCCTAGGTTTCAGTACTTACCTTTGTTTGCTGGTCCTAGGTTTCAGTACCTACCTTTGCTTGATGGTCCTAGGTTTCAGTACTTACCTTTGTTTGATGGTCCTAGGTTTCAGAAGTCCTGGTCCCTCTATTTCCAGGCTACACTGTGTCAACGTGACTGGAAGTGGATTATTAAATGAAACGATGACCTTAAAAGGTGATCCGACCTTGACCTCTTTTGGCACCTGTAAGACAATGTCACATGTCAGTCACGTCATGAACATTTGTGATCTATAACAAACACCTTAAAGGCAAAAGCTCTCAGTTTACATAAAAGATAAGGAAAACATTAAACATATGGAGTTGTCCATTTTATAATTAAAAGTTACTACTTCAAGACGATCTAGTCTCTGAATCGGAGATTGAAGTCAAATGATTTTGTAAATATAATGTCAAGTAAATCAAGGAAAACTAAGCCACAGTGAAAGGCTGATTAAAACATACATCGGCCAGAAGGTAAATACAACTGGAACTGTCACCATATATGACAGACTAGATATAGCTATTACACTTTCCTATTCGAATCACAAATTCTACAAAAAATCCAGCACACTGACAGGTAAAGAGGAGTTGTGCTAAGTTTCTGGAGCAGGATTCGTTTTAGGTTTAGGAGGAAATGTGCTTTCAAGGATCATGGATAGACAGATGGTCAGACAGAGTGCAAGCCTAAAGTCCTCCCCTGGACATATGGGGAACTACTCAAATTAAGAGAGATAATCTTGTACATTATGGTGTGTATATGTATATTATATGGTGAATTTGGGATGTATAACTTATATAAAATTATAATGCGTGATTTATCTTGTTGTAAAAGCTGAATTAAAAAAAATCTTTTGCTGGTAATAAAGAGATGAGACATTGAAAAAATCCCTAAAAAAACATGAAAAAAGACTCTTTTGATAAAAGATTTGTTCCTTAACACTCCAGCATGCTTAATTATATGGATACTTGATGTAACTTCTGACCCTCACTTAGATATAGAGAGTTTGAACCCCAGCATGTTGGTCTGCAGTAAGATATAGAGAGTTTGAACCCCAGCATGTTGGTCTGCAGTAAGACATAGAGAGTTTGAACCCCAGCATGTTGGTCTGCAGTAGAAAGTTTGAACCCCAGCATGTTGGTCTGCAGTAAGATATAGAGAGTTCGACCCCCAGCATGTTGGTCAGTAGTATGATATAGAGAGTTTGAACCTCAGCATGTTGGTCAGCAGTAAGATATAGAGAGTTTGAACCCCAGCATGTTGGTCTGCAGTAAGATATAGAGAGTTTGAACCCCAGCATGTTGGTCAGTAGTAAGATATAGAGAGTTTGAACCTCAGCATGTTGGTCAGCAGTAAGATATAGAGTTTGAACCCCAGCATGTTGGTCTGCAGTAAGATATAGAGAGTTTGAACCCCAGCATGTCGGTCAGCAGTAAGATATAGAGAGTTTGAACCCCAGCATGTTGGTCTGCAGTAAGACATAGAGAGTTTGAACCCCAGCATGTTGGTAGGCAGTAAGATATAGAGAGTTTGAACCCCAGCATGTTGGTCGGCAGTAAGATATACAGAGTTTGAACCCCAGCATGTTGGTCTGCATTAAGATATAGAGAGTTTGAACCCCAGCATGTTGGTCTGCAGTAAGATATAGATAGTTTGAACCCCAGCATGTTGGTCGGCAGTAAGATATAGAGAGTTTGAACCCCAGCATGTTGGTCGGCATGGGTTTACCCCCCAAGCCCCATGTCAGACCTCTAGACAGGGATTTTAATTTTTTTTTTTTATATATTTTGGTACAGCCCTTGGTAAAATCAATGGTTGTTTGAATCAAAATTAGCATTTTATCTTTGACTTTAAAAAAAAAAAAGGACTTAGTGTTTGAGAAATAGCTTTGACGAGTTGCTACTGTTCTATAAAAACATCCTGCTATGAAGAAACAAGATATCCAATGGAAATGTGTAATACAAACATACATCAGTATTATATCTATCTATGTACCTTCAGGTGGAGGTCTGGTTTGATGAGTCGGAAGTCGTCATCGTCCATGGCGGTTTGATTGGTCTCCTGTACCATACACACGATGGATGTCTTAAAGAAACAGCCCTCAATTGTGTTAGGGTTGTACTCTTCAAACTTTATCTGCATTTTCTTGGTCTCCTCTGTGTAACAGATGACAAGAGTGCAGGTTTAACTTTAATTTTATGTTCTATATACATAGTACAAACTGTCTTGCAATTGTAAACAAGTATGAATATTTATGAAGTATTTCAAAGAAAACAAACAACAAAACACACATTTTATGCAGTTTCTTCTTGGTTTTTGATATCATTGTACCTGTAAACAATAATTATGAACTCACTGATGAAATCCTAAGAATCCCAAGCAGTTTGTCTTTCATTTTAAGAAATCAATATTTTTCAGATTTTTTTTGGTGCGCAAAATATTCGAGAAGAAAAGTACCTGCGCAAATTACACAGGTTTTTACGGTAGTTATGGCGTTTTCATAAATACCAGCAGTGAAATGAAATTCTAAAGATTAACCCCACCCTCCCGTATTGTATTGCTAAAATTTTAAACTAAATGTAGAGGTCTGTTAGACATCAATGCCCCAGTGCGCATGCAAACTAGGCTTTTAATGTTTGAGAATTTTCTATAAACCATGCATACTGATGACCTTGATCTTGGCACCCTGATATAGGAAATTATTGTTCATACTCAACTTTGTATAAAGAATTAAAAAATGAAGTCACCAGATGAACACACAGGATTGATTTAATACTTTCTATATATAATAACAGTAACCTTAGCCTAGACCGTGTAACTGTGTAAAAACAAACTCACTCAACATTTTCTGGTACATGTTCTCTAATTTTGTATAATGTTTGATCAAAATCTGTAAAGAAATGAAGTTCCCAGAGTAGTTACACTGAAGTGAGAGCGCTTCATAATCCATCTTTATAATGCATTGATTAAATCACTGACAATCAGCTAAAACCAACCTAATTTTTATCCATCAGCAAATGTAGGTAAAGGATACAAAACTACACATACCTCTGTGACATGTAAACTTCATGGTGTATGTTACCTCTGTAACACGGTGACTTAAGGGTGTATGTTACCTCTGTCACATGTAAACTTCATGGTGTATGTTACCTCTGTCACATGTATAAACTTAAGGGTGTATGTTACCTCTGTCACATGTAAACTTAAGTGTGTTTGTTACCTCTGTCACATGTAAACTTAAGGGTGTATGTTACCTCTGTAACACGGTGACTTAAGGGTGTATGCTACCTCTGTGACATGTAAACTTCATGGTGTATGTTACCTCTGTCACATGTATAAACTTAAGGGTGTATGTTACCTCTGTCACATGTAAACTTAAGGGTGTCTCTGTAACATGTTAACTTAAGGGTGTATGTAACCTCCGTAACATGGTCACTTAAGGATGTATGTTTCCTCTGTAACATGTCAACTTAAGGATGTATGTTACCTCTGTAACATGTTAACTTAAGGGTGTATGTTACCTCTGTAACACGGTCACTTAAGGGTGTATGTTACCTCTGTGACATGTAAACTTAAGGGTGTTTCTGTAACATGTTAACTTAAGGGTGTATGTAACCTCCGTAACATGGTCACTTAAGGATGTATGTTTCCTCTGTAACATGTAAACTTAAGGGTGTATGTTACCTCTGTCACAATTAAACTTCATGGTGTATGTTACCTCTGTCACATGTAAACTTAAGGGGTATGTTACCTCTGTATCACGATGACTTCAGGATGTATGTTACCTTTGTCACATGTAAACTTAAGGGTGTCTCTGTAACATGTTAACTTAAGGGTGTATGTAACCTCCGTAACATGGTCACTTAAGGGTGTATGTTTCCTCTGTAACATGTAAACTTAAGGATGTATGTTACCTCTGTAACATGTTAACTTAAGGGTGTATGTTACCTCTGTAACACGGTCACTTAAGGGTGTATGTTACCTCTGTAACACAGTCACTTAAGGGTGTATGTTTCCTATGTAACATGGTCACTTAAGGGTGTATGTTACCTGTGTAACACGGTCACTTAAGGGTGTATGTTACTTCTGTAACACGGTCACATAAGGATGTATGTTGTTTCCTCTGTAACATGTAAACTTAAGGACTTAAGGATGTATGCTATCTATGGAACATAGACACTTTTGGGTGTATCCTGCTTTATATAATGAACACTTTATGATGTAACCCACTTTGTTAGGACACTTAAGGAGATATTCTACCTATATATCATGGAGACACAAATCTCCACATGCATGTGGTACTTACTCTGCTCTGAGCCGAGGTTAACATGTAACCTCTCCGACCTGACCTGGTAAGCATACACTCCAGTAGAGTAGAAACTCCGGAGACTCCAGGTCCCACTGACAGTACGCTCTTCCTTGGACAAATTCTCAAACTCAACCTCAACTACAAGGTCATCTCCATAATTGCATTGTTCATTATTTAGCACCTTCACAGAGACATCCTAGAATTAAATCAAGGGAGATAGGCAATCTTTTGATATATTGTACATAGTAACTTTTTAATTTTTCATTTACTCATCCAGTGACTAAGTTATTTCTTCTGCATTTTTTAAGATAAATTTAACGGACATTTGTATAAATAAGAAGATGACTGCTGGATACATCAGAAAGCAGATAAGTGAACAATTGGAAGATTTATTGATCTAAAGTGTCATTATCACAGTGTGTAAACCCAACTTTTACCTGGCTCGCCTCGACAGGTTGATTGTAGATGCCTGCCCTAGTACCAGACATGTTGGCCATCATTACTGCAGCTCTCTCGGCACCCCAACCTACAGTACAATGTAGTAGGAAAGTGAAAGTACAGTGGAACATATGTTACAGATGAATACAAATGAAAATATTAAATTAGTAGATAGATAACTGAGTCACAATTTACTGCAGGGGGACCATGTTTCCTGGTTACTTTCATTACATACAAACTACAGGCCTGGCTGGTACAGCAGATAACGCAGATAAAAAGAGAAAGTAGAACCGAGCAAAAGAAATCACTTTATGTTAAGATGGTTCCAAAATCAGCCCATCACACCACCAACCTTCTTTGTGTTTGTATTCCGATGTGATATCCTCCCAGCGTTTGTCCGTACAGGGACTGAAAATATCGCTTGTATCTGTTTCTCCCCGACACTTCGGCTTATATGTGCTAAGGTGCTGGCCAACACTGAAACCAAACAGGTGATACTTGTTGAAGGGCAGACAACTCTACGTATTCAGTGAGAATTCTATATGAATTCATAAACATTATCAAGAATTCATATCATACTTTTTACCTGTATTTGAAAGATTTCAGTTACAGTAGATGTACCAGAACAAAAGGTTGCAAAAATTCATCTTCTATATGTCTAGCAGGTTTAACTCAAAACTTTCTTACAAACAAAACTGTGATTTTCATTTGGTCTTCATTTTAGTATGCATTTGCTAGAGAGTGTTATATATTCATGTGTGGAAAACCACAATCCTCTTATATTCTACTCCAAGGTGACAGTTACACAACATATGACAATGCATCAGACAGCACACCTGGGTACAGGTACTTAGCTGACATCACGAACACGTTATATAGACACACCTGGGTACAGGTACTTAGCTGTCATCACAAACACAATATATAGACACACCTGGGTACAGGTACTTAGCTGTCACCACAAACACAATATATAGACACACCTGGGTACAGGTACTTAGCTGACATCACAAACACAATATATAGACACACCTGAGTACAGGTACTTAGCTGACATCACGAACACAATAGATAGACACACCTGGGTACAGGTACTTAGCTGACATCACAAACACAATATATAGACACACCTGGGTACAGGTACTTAGCTGACATCACAAACACACTATATAGACACACCTTGGTACAAGTACTTAGCTGTCATCACAAACACAATATATAGACACACCTGGGTACAGGTACTTAGCTGACATCACAAACACAATATATAGACACAACTGGGGGCAGGTACTTAACTGACATCAAAAACACAATATAGCCACACCTGGGTACAGGTACTTAGCTGTCATCACAAACACAATATATAGACACTATGTATACTTAAAACATCATATATTACCGTGGTTGATCTTTGACCTTCTCACCTTTGGGTTCTGACTCCCATCTTCTTCTTTTGATCGTTCTCTGATATTTGCCAGAACACAACATCTGCATTAACTTCTGCGAAAATGAAATGTCCGTCATATGGCACATTTATGTCTCCATTTTTTATGGCCATCAGAGGGCAGGGCCCACATCGGTACTGCCCTGTAATGTAAAAGAGTGCAATCTGTATTACGATAACAAGCCCTATAACCTTATAGTCCCAGTTCACTCAGTTGGGAGATGGAGTAGTGGGAAATTGAGTAGGTCTCTACAGGGGCCTGAAGGATGGAGTCCAGAGTGATCGAATTAGCTAAAACTTCAACCATCTTCTTCCTCATACTGTACACTCGAAAATTTTCACTGGCCTTTTTCTCCCTCTGGAAGGGGGACGAATTTATCATTACAGTGAACAGCAGTCAGCAACATTATTTACATATATCAATTAAATTTGAAAAGCCAAATGCACTCCAGGCAAATTTGGATTTCACTGCCCAAATATGAAAGTTTGCTTGGGCAAAAATTTCCCGTACACAGTACCCATACACACTTGAATCAATATTACCATGGATGAAAAAGGTCCTAAGGTGTTTTGTTAAAATCGTTAATTTATTCATGCACCCTTATGGTTTGTATCCCTTCGATTTCTATTTTCCGTTGATCTTTGACAGTTTCAACTTTCTATTTCTACGTTACCATCGCTTTGCTCCTGGGGTGTAGAGTCACATGCCTGCCAGCCTCCGTATTCCTGGTCTTTAAGGTCGGGACGCGCCATCCACACATCGTTCCACACATGGAAGTTCCTGTCAAAGAGTCACATACATGTACCAGAAATAGGGTAATAAACACAGGCAAACTGTTGGCAATTGTATGTTAGTTTTTATTTTTACAACATGAACAACTACTGTATATAAGTATATGTGCTAAAGCCCTTTAGAGTGGCTTATGTTAGCTATATTATTATTATTATTATTATGATATATAGTGTGGTCATAGATCAAAACAGGTGTATATATCCAGGATGGTGTACATTTGTGAACAGGGGGGTTGCTTGCAATTAAGCCCCCTCCCTACTTTTGGTCTCTGTTTTTTCACTAGAGGTGGGGGCTTATTTGCGGTCAAATATTGTAACTGCACACCTGCCAAGCAATGAAATGAGGGTCATAGGTGGTCATAATGCAGGTTATACATGATAATTACAAATTATGCAAGTACAGTATGTAAACTTTCCAAAGTAAATAAATCAGTAGTAAATACATTTAAATTAATTTTTCTGTTTGTATCATAGTATGTCTTGATCGAGTTTTGAAAAAGTATGCTGTATAAAGATTATTTGATATTTAAAGCTTTAAAAAAAGAATGACATATTATAGTCTCTAGTAGAATTGGGGGGGGGGGGGGATTCGCATTAAGACGTGTTGCCAGTAGATATTCAAATATTCCCGCGGTTTGCACTAGAAGCGGGAATAATTTGTCTTGTGCGGCACAAGCAGCAGAAGGCTGTCACGTGTACTCGGGTACCCTGGTGGTAGTTGTTGTCAGCGTGGTCATTTCTAGTCGCCTACTCGGGACATACGGTTCATTCTAAACTTAAGGATGTATAGGTGGTTTCTTAGGGTGGTTCAGCAGGTCTATTAAAAAAAAAAAAAAAAAAAGTCAACAGCGGTCCAACTGTCACCTCAGAGAAATTGAACTTGCAGAGAAATAATATTTGTCCCGCTTTTGGATACAGGTTTCCGGGGGATATCTCCTGGGCGTGCAGGTTGATTTCAATGATCGAGGTATCTCTTTATTGTCGTTACGCGCAGTCAACGTCAGACTGCGGCGTACATTTTTTCACCTCATATGACAGCAACCTGTTAACTATCTGCATAAGTACGAGGGTTTATTTGGATATATTTATTTCGATTGCATTTTGTTTTTTTTCATGGATTATGTGTAAATGTTGTGCATGTACATATACTGATTAAACGCCCACCGCCTTAGTCCTTTCGGCGAGCAAGCGGTGTTGTTATATGCCAGTCGCTCAGTGGAGCAAGACATGTAATCAGTGACGACACTAGGCCAGTCAACTGAGTAACTCAGTACTCACCACACAGAATCTGAGTCCATGTATAACCAATGACCACACTAGGCCAGTCGCCTGAGTAACTCAGTACTCACCACACAGAATCTGAGTCCATGTATAACCAATGACCACACTAGGCCAGTCACCTGAGTTACTCAGTACTCACCACACAGAATCTGAGTCAATGTGTAATCAATGACCACACTAGGCCAGTCACCTGAGTAACTCAGTACTCATCACACATAATCTGAGTCAATGTGTAATCAATGACCACACTAGGCCAGTCTCCTGAGTTACTCAGTACTCACCACACATAATCTGAGTCAATGTGTAATCAATGACCACACTAGGCCAGTCTCCTGAGTAACTCAGTACTCATCACACATAATCTGAGTCAATGTGTAATCAATGACCACACTAGGCCAGTCTCCTGAGTTACTCAGTACTCACCAAATAGAATCTGAGTCCATGTGCTCCAAAGGATTCCCCTCTTCATCAAAGTGGTAGTCTATGGATACAGATACATCGGTGTCGTGGGCCGAGGAAAAGTTAGTAACGCTTCTGCTTGGTATTCCCAGGACACGATAACCTAACAAATCAAAGATTACACTCATCAGCCCGGCGAACTAAAAATGAAGTATTCGCCAACGTAACAAAGGAAAAGTTTCACTCATATTAAGTTTTCCGCAACCTAATTGAATTTTTTTTATTCTCTACAACCTGACAAACCAAAATGTATACTCTACAACTGGCAAACCAAAATTTATACTCTACAACTTGACAAATCAAAATGTATACTCTGCAAACTGACAAATAAATTTATACTCTACAACTTGACAGATCAAAATTAATACTCTACAACCTGACAAATTATAACTTATACTCAACAACTTGTCAAATCAAAATTAATACTCTACAAACTGACAAATTAAAAATTTATACTCTACAAACTGACACATCAAAATTGATACTCAACAACTTGACAAATCAAAATTTGTACTTTCCAACCTGACAAATCAAAATTAATACTCTACAACCTGACAAATTAAAATTTATACTCTACAAACTGACAAACCAAACCTTAACCTCACCATTTGTTATTGACATTTTATCCATATTTCAAAACATTTGATAGAGAATAAATCAGAAAAATCAATTTTAATCTTAACTATCAAATTTAACCCTTAATATGTGTCACAATGGTGAACTATCTAGTCTCCTATTACTGACTTAGCTATAGGGAATTTCCCTTAGCTCAATTGGTGTAGCTTGACTTGACTGATAATCTGCAGGCCTTGGTTTTGTCCCTGAGGTTAAGCAGCTAAAACCTATATCCTAGATAGCCTCAGCTACATCATGTATGGGAAGGCAGTTACTGGTCTTGCTAATTAAGACCTACAATACTGACCTCCCTTATTTTAACGTTGAATTTGATTCAATGTCAAAGCATATGTAGTACTTGTTGATTCAATGTCAAAGCATATGTAGTACTTGTTGATTCAATGTCAAAGCATATGTAGTACTTGTTGATTCAATGTCAAAGCATATGTAGTAATTGTTGATTCAATGTCAAAGCATATGTAGTACTTGTTGATTCAATGTCAAAGCATATGTAGTAATTGTTGATTGATTGTCAAAGCATATGTAGTACTTGTTGATTCAAGTGTAGCAGTTTTTGTATAGTGGATTTTTCGATGTATTGATAGTTAATACTCACATGTGGTTAGTACTCCAGAAAAGACCCAGCACTGACCGTACTTGACCGGTAACTTAGTCTTGTAGTACTCCTCCATGATGGCCTGACTTCCTGTCCAGGATGTGGGGGGTTTTCCTCCCTCATAGTTACCTGACCAATTACCTGTCAGGATACCACTCCTGTCGGAGGAGTTTACCTGTACAAAATACCTTACATATATTACACTTATCCTTCCATTGACAAGGTGATGTTTTGTAATTAAGTAAAAAATAATTTGATCTGCACACATTTATCAACCAGAAATAGTGGTAATATGTGGCTTACCAGAGCAGTGAGTTTGCGGACAACCTTGACAGGGTCACCTCTTGTGGATGCTGGGAAGTTGTTCTTGTCAAGTAGGTCAAGGACACAGTCCAACACAGGGTCCTCAAACTACAAACGTGAGTATGGATATCTTGAATGTTGATAAAAAAAAATTAAACATCATCTAACTTAATCGGCAATCAAATGTTATTTTTCACACAATTTCCTACACTACACCAGAAAGCCAGTCCACAGTCTACAGTATGTATAGCAAAGTGTGTGACAGTTATCATAATCAGAAGTTATAGTTTTCTTAAAGATGCGGAATACTGTATACAGGCCTAGAAATAATCATCTTCCTGTTAAATTTGTGTTATTTCCTTTATATTCCTGCAAACATCATTACAGAATGTGCAGGACTGTGTTAAGATAGTTATAGTGCATTTTCCTGCAGTGTTGCCGACATGTATCAAAATGACCAATATCATGACCATTAGCTATAGGGCAGTAGATAAGTTTCCTGCTTTAAAATCTAAAGGTACAATTATGGATCAAATGCTGGTGGCACTGATGCATTTGAGAAAAAGGATATAATAATAATGATAATAATAATTTGAGGTTCTTCTATACCACTTTATCACAACCTAAATCGTAGGTCATCTCAAAGCGGTTCACAAATTATTAGCCGTGGTTATATATATATAATTTGCAACCATCCAATACCTTTCTCAACTCCCTGGGGGGTATACAGCCTGAGCTGCCATTTCGGCGCTAACAGCTAGCATTCAACAATTCTAGCACTGCCCAACCATGTACTCATTTACAGCTGAGTAGACTGGAAGAAGCGGAGTAAAGTATCTTGCTCAAGGATACAACAAATATATCTCTTTTTAAATATAATTCTGGTTATTGTTATTGAGCAGGCATCATGTCAAGCAAATTGGAACTCTTCTTTGTTAGAGATAGAACAGAGTGCTCAGACTCTCTACCTTAATCTGTGTGTTTATTTGTACACACTATTGAGACAGTCAGGTACCACTTTACTTATTTTGTACTATACATGACCATCAAAGCATATAACCCAAAGATATGGAATTCTTATGTTTATCAAAATACAATAAGATTGCCTTGTATATCCCTCACATTCTAGTACATTGTATATCATATTTAATAATTTTCAATTTATAACAAGAAAAAGATTATAGTTATTCTTTAAAAACTACTGAACTTATGGAAAGTTTTTCTGATTTCTTCAACATGCTTAACTCTGCCAAGGCTGGAAAGTTTAAGATCCAGTGTTATATTAAATCACTTATTTACACTCACCTGTCCAAAACTCCAAGGTTTACCATAGATTGATTTCTTGCTTCCCCTGAAGATTTTTCCTGTATCGCTCAATACATACTCCTCCAGCAGGCCATCATCATGGAGGTACACCTGGTCCTCTGTAACAAAACAAAACATCTGGTACCCAACTTAATGTAGTATCAATCATCGATCAATTGGTGGTGGCGATGAGCTTCAGTAACAGACCAATACATGTATAAGATCTGCAGTGATACTAAGTCAGATCTATATGAACCTCCAAAAAGACTTTAAACTTTCAACAGAATACACATTGGCTGGGGGTGGCTGTAGATCTTGTAATGTTCTACCTGTACACCAGTGTTTAAACAGGACATATATTGGCTGGGGGTTGCTGTAGATCTTGTAATGTTCTACCTGTACACCAGGAGTTAAACAGGACATATATTGGCTGGGGGGGGCTGTAGATCTTGTAATGTTCTACCTGTACCCCAGGGGTTAAACAGGACATATATTGGCTGGGGGTGGCTGTAGATCTTGTAATGTTCCACCTGTACACCTCGGGTTAAACAGGACATATATTGGCTGGGGGTGGGTGTGGATCTTGTAATGTTCTACCTCTACACCAGGGGTTAAACAGGGCATGTATTGGCTGGGGGTTGCTGTAGATGTTGTAGTGGTGTACCTTTTCACCAGGGGTTAAACAGGACATATAAGGGCTGGGGGTGGCTGTAGAACTTGTAATGTTCTACCTGTACGCCAGGGGTTAAACAGGACATATAATGGCTGGGGGAGGCTGACGATCTTGCAATGTTCTACCAGTACACCAGGGGTTAAACAGGCCATATATTGGCTGGGGGTGACTGTAGATCTTGTAATGTTATACCTTTACACCAGGGGTTAAAAAGGACATGTATTGGCTGGGCGTGGCTGTAGATCTTGTAATGGTCTAACTCTACACCAGGGGTTAAACAGGACATGTAATGGCTGGGGGTGGCTGTCGATCTTGTAATGTTCCACCTGTGCACCAGGGGTTAAACAGGATATGTATTGGCTGGGGGTGGGTGTGGATCTTGTAATGTTCTACCTTTACAAGATCTACCTGTACACCAGGGGGTAAACAGGACATGTATTGGCTGTGGGTGGCTGTAGATCTTGTAATGGTCTAACTGTACACCAGGGGTTAAAAAGGACATGTATTGGCTGGGCGTGGCTGTAGATCTTGTAATGTTGCACCTGTACACCTCGGGTTAAACAGGACATATAAGGGCTGGGGGTGGCTGTAGATATTGTAATGTTCCACCTGTACACCACGGGTTAAACAGGACATATATGGGCTGGAGTTGACTGTAGATCTTGTAATGTTCTCCCTTTACAAGATCTACCTGTACACCAGGGGTTAAACAGGACATATATTGGCTGGAGTTGACTGTAGATCTTGTAATGTTCTACCTGTACACCAGGGGTTAAACAGGACATATAATGGCTGGGGGTGGCTGTAGATCTTGCAATGTTCTACCTGTACACCAGGGGTTAAACAGGACATGTATTGGCTGGGGGTGGCTGTAGATCTTGTAATGTTCTACCTTTACACCAGGGGTTAAACAGGACATATATTGTCTGGGGTTGGCTGTAGATCATGCAATGTTTTACCTTTACACCAGGGGTTAAACAGGACATATATTGGCTCGGGGTTGCTGTAGATCTTGTAATGTTCTACCTGTACACCAGGGGTTAAACAGGACATATATTGGCTCGGGGTTGCTGTAGATCTTGTAATGTTCTACCTTTACACCAGGGGTTAAACACGACATATATTGGCAGGGGGTTGCTGTAGATCTTGTGATGTTCTACCTGTACACCAGGAGTTAAACAGGACATATATTGGCTGGGGGTGGCTGTAAACAGGACATATATTGGCTGGGGGTGGCTGTAGATCATGCAATGTTTTACCTTTACACCAGGGGTTAAACAGGACATATATTGGCAGGGGGTGGCTGTAGATCTTGTGAGATGGCTGCATGTTTGCCTTCTTTAGTGTCCTGATTTTGAGGTTCCAGCGACCAATGATACAGGGGGGTGGAGTTTTGACCTCCAACGTCAAGCTCATGTCCTCCTTCTGTTCCAGAAGCTTGGCTCCCCATTGGCTGTGTTGATCAGCCTCTGACAAGATCACCTCCACTTTCGTTCCCGAGGTTGACAGAGGATTGCTTCCTGTAAATAAATGCAAAATTAGACATAAAGGATCTTATCTTGTTCTCAGTTTATCTAAAATTCATATTCATAAAACAATTCTAGAAGTTATTATTTTTAATTTCATAACTCATATGAAATAGAAACTCACTGAAGATCCTTTTTCACTCATTACAAAGAATGTGTGTTGAGTATCTAAAGAACATGCTAACTCAAACGGTCATCATGAGTCTTGTGCCATCAGATTATCATGATATCATATATACATTGTTTTAACTCTGATGTCACAACAGGTGTTTTTCTCTCAGGTTCCGTATAGCTGGTTGTTTCCGAGGGTGGAAATACAGAAATACAATAAATTCATCATGACATGGGTGTATCAATCAATTTCAATCTGCAATAATCTCAGTAGTTTTGATTACATAACGTGCATAATATATAAACTGGTTCATTATTCCTTGTACCTGTCTCAAAAATCAGTTTCAGTTCGTGTGTTTGTTGATCATAAGGCTGGTCACAGGTGAGCCTCATCTGGAATGGCTGACCCCTGCGGACGATGAGGAACTGATCCTGGCCTGGCCGCTCCTCAGTAAGGCTGTACTTGTCAGTACGGTGAGCCTTGCAGTCATCATCAATGTTAAACTGGACTTCTGTCACCTGGAAAATGTCTTTTACATCTTCTTCTGGAGGGTCTGAAACAGAAATATTGAAACAGATGTACTTAAACGATGTTTTTTTTCAGGAGGGTCTGAAACAGATGTACTTAAACAGGGGAATCTTTAAACAGATGAATCTTCAGATGGGTCTGAACCTGACGTAATTCATAGATCTGTGGAGGATATAGAAGAGACAAATAAGGGTAGATGTAGCTGAGTGGTGAAGGCACCTGAACATCTGCAATCACTAGCTCTTCACCACTTAGTCACAGGTTTTTAGGCCCACGTTGGGCAGTCGCCAGGTACTGGCTGCTGGCCATGCATGGTTGGTGTTATTTTTTTCGCATTCTCAAGTTTTCCTCCAAACAAAAGTCTGATATGTTCTTAAATGATCAATAGCTGTCAATAGAACATAAAACACAAAACAATCAAACAAAATATCTTTCCTTCGTAACAGCCAAAAAATAGACGTCACATGGTAACAGACGCCATTGTTCCGGTCTCCGGTAAATCGGAAGCTTTTTTTTTAGTTTTATAAAGTTTATCAACGTCACATTGTGCTGGAAATTGTCACGGAAGAAGCTAAATATTAGCTCTACATAGAGCGGGTGGTAAAAGGACTCATCCCCCAACAGGAACAGAGATCTCTACAATTTTTGACATGCGTCCAGCGGGATCTAAGGACGTTACATCGTCGTCAAGCAGATCAGGCGAAAAGAAGAAGGAAACAGTGGTCACGCGTTCTGGAGAGAGAAAAGGGAGTAGTAGACGAAGTTCCAACCCGTTTTTGTCGGACACTTGGACCTGCAAGTTGTTCAGAAGACGGACAATGGAGACCCAAACGCTAAAATGTTGGAATGTGAACGCTGCAAAGACCGTTTCTTTATCGCGTGCCTGCAGAAAGAAGTCACGGAATATGATTTTCTAAACAAAACGGATTCGATGTGGTTTTGCGCGCCATGCAATGTGGCAGTAAGAAAAAACCTTCATACCGAAACCATAGTGGAAAACAAATGTGCTGAGATAATGGCAGCATACGAGGAAAGAATTACCAAGCTTGAACTCGTTATAAAGTCGAAGTGTGGAACTGATGAGGTGAGGAAGATAATTCAAGAAGAACTGGCAAACTCTGTAAGTTCATCCAAGGATACCCATACTAGTATCAATGATGCTACATCTACTGTATTATCGGAGCTTAACGATAAAAAACGCAGAGAAAACAACATAATCATTTTCGGGATTGACGAAAAAGAGGATAACGGGGACGCAAAACATGCGGATTTGGAGATAGTTACAAAGATGCTTAAAACCTGCAAAGTCTCGGCTGAGGGATTGAATGACATTCCCAAGATTACCAGACTAGGCAGAAAACAACAGGAGAAAACCCGACCCATCCTAGTCAGCTTCGGTAGCATTGCTTATAAATCTGTGTTTTTCAAAAATATTCGGAATCTTCAAACCAATGATGATTACAAATCCATTCGGATTAATAATGATCTGACCAAATCAGAAAGAGAAGGAGAGGCAGCACTAAGGGGAGAAGCGAAAAAGAGAAACGAGAAGGAAACCGGGGGTTTTGTCCACAGGGTAAAAGGCCCCCCATGGAACAGAAAAATCGTGAAAATCAAAACGAAAATTCGGAAAGATTAAACGATAACTTGAGCTGCTTTTACACTAATGCTGACAGTCTTTTAAACAAATTAGATGAGTTAAAACTAAGGATTCAACAGAAAGAGAGGGGTATAGACGCGATAGGTATAACTGAAATCTACCCGAAAAATTATAGATTTTTACCAAGTAAAGCAGAGCTAAACATTCCGGGATATGATTTTTTTATAAACGAAAACGACCCCAATCGACACCGTGGAATAGGTATTTACATCAAGGAAGGCCTTAAACCCGTGGAAGTGAACATTACAACCAGCTTTAAAGAGAGCATCTGGGTAAAATTAACATCGCCGGATAAGGAGAAAGTGTTGATTGGCTGTGTCTATAGAAGTCCGAACTCTGATAAGGATAACAACGATGAGCTACATAAACTAATAACTAAAGTTTCTACAGATAAAGAGTTTTCACAGCTGTTAATATTAGGGGATTTCAACTTCCCAAGTATAGACTGGAACACATGGATATCAAGGGGAGATAGACAAGGTGAAAACTTTATAGAACTTTTAAGAGACAACTTTCTTTATCAACATTCCACTGAATGCACTCGCATCCGAGTGGGGAACGAAGCAAATATCCTTGATTTAATATTAACTAATGCGGAAGAGACAGTGAATGCTATTAATTACGATAGTCCTATAGGCAACAGTGATCATCTTCTTATATATTTTGAATACGCGTTCCGCAAAACGGTATCCAACAATTTTCAAACAGGATATAATTTCCGTAAAGGAGACTATACCAACATGAAGAAGGAACTACGGGAGGTGGAATGGACAGAAACTTTGTCTAACCTGGATACTGAAGAAGCGTACAACAAATTTCTCCGTATATTCCATAATACTGCGGACAAATATATCCCAAAAAAGAAGAACACAACTGCAAACAGCAAAAACGGCCTAGCGTTGAACAGGGATCTTAGGAATAAAATCAATAAAAAACATCGGGCTTGGACGAGGTTTATGGAAACAAAAACACAAGATAGGTATAAGGAGTATGCCAAACTCAGAAACCAAGTCAAATGGGAACTCCGGAAGGCAAAAAAGGAGATGGAAAAGGAAATTGCACTTAATGCGAAGCACCAGCCTAAACGATTCTGGAAATATATAAATGCTAAGAGAAAAGTGAGATCGGGAATTTCGGACCTAAAAGGATTGAACGGAAACCCTACAGAAATAGCAACTAGTGATTCGGAGAAGGCAGAAGTATTGGTTAATTTCTTCACGAGTGTATTTACTAAAGAACCACCGGGGGAGCTACCTCCGTTCCTAGCCAGACCTGTCAGTCACTTATTTCAAGACACGTCAATCAATGGAGATGTAATCAAGAAACTACTTTTCAATTTAGATGCTAACAAATCACCAGGACCCGATGGGATGCATCCGAAAGCTTTAAAGGAACTTCGCGATGTTTTGTGTATACCAATTTCGATAATCTTCAATAAATCTCTCTCTGAAGGAAAACTACCCCAATCATGGAAGGACGCGAACATCACCGCTATTTACAAAAAAGGTTCAAAAACCGATCCTGGAAACTATCGACCTGTTAGTCTTACTAGTATCATCGTTAAAACAATGGAAAAACTTATACGTGATAGTATAGTTCAACACATGCAACTGAACAATTTATTCAGCAAAAATCAGTTTGGATTTCTCCCCGGAAGATCAACAACACTTCAAATGTTAATCGTCCTAGATGAGTGGACTCATATGTTGGATACGGGAGGAGAAATTGATGTCATTTATATGGATTTTATGAAAGCTTTCGACAAGGTACCCCATCGCCGTCTAATACACAAGCTATATAATTATGGAATCAGCGCGAAAACTGTTAAATGGATAGAAAACTTTTTAAGTGATAGACATCAAAAAGTAGTGGTTAACGGATCTACATCCAAATTACAGAACGTCTTAAGCGGAATTCCTCAGGGGAGTGTTTTAGGACCAATACTATTTGTTATGTATATCAATGACATGCCCGAGAACACTGCGTCATCGTGCCCTCTATTCGCGGATGATACTAAATTATACCGCAAGATACGAACTGATGAGGATAAGGAAATTCTACAAGCAGATTTGAATAATCTTCAAAAATGGTCTGATGATTGGCTTCTGAAATTTCATCCGAATAAATGCAAGGTTCTTCAGGTTAAAGGATCACCAAACAATAATAGAACATACCGTCTCGCGAGCAAAACTGGAGAAGTCGTACTTGACAAAATCAACAGTGAAAAAGATTTAGGAGTAACGGTGGATGCAAACCTGGACTTTCGGACCCACATTCAAAACTCAATAAATAAAGCTAATTCAGTACTCGGGATTATTAGAAGATCATTTACTTTTTTGGACGAATCGATTTTTAGACAGTTATTTAAGGCTCTGGTAAGACCGCATCTAGAATACGCAGCCAGTGCGTGGAGTCCGTATAAACTTAAAGATATCCAGATGATAGAGAATGTACAACGGAGAGCCACTAAGCTTCTACCTGGATTTAAAGAAATCTCCTACGAAGAACGTTTAGAAAAATTAAAACTACCGACACTAAAACACCGAAGGACTAGAGGTGATTTGATTAACGTTTTCAAGATTGTGAAGAGGAAGTTTGATGAGAAAGTCACGTCAGACATATTTGTCTACGATAATAACGAAAGAACACGAGGACATAAATTTAAGCTGTATAAACAACGATGTAGTACAGAGCTAAGGAAAAACTCGTTCACGTTTAGGGTAGTTGATATCTGGAACGGTCTACCGGAATCGGTTGTAAATGCAGAAACCACGAAGGACTTTGAGATCCTGTTGGATAACCATCTGAAGGACACTATTTCCAATAATTACTGATAATGACTTTTAAAATAACTCTTTTGGGAAAGTTTATATATGTTAACCAATGACAATATAATATTTTTATACTATGTTTTGTGATATGGACTTAGAGGCTTTCAGCCTGCGTCCATTATTTTTCAATTAAATTAAATTAAATTCAAATACTGCCTTACTGGCAAATTAACTTGATCAACGATGCAGCATCATGACCCTGTGGGACATTTTAAGGCTAGTTCCCACTTGTAGTGGCAGCATCATGACCCTGTGGTACCTTGTAAGGCTAGTTCCCACTTGTAGTAGCAGCGTCATGACCCTGTGGGACATTTTAAGGACCTACAGGATTCCCCAGGCCAAGACTTGGAACATGAACATTGGAATGGGAAATGTGTAATTATAACAGCTAAGGAAAATGAGGGGAAATTTCTACATAACTGGCAGGCTAGCTTTTCCAGGGATGCAGTGTAAGCTTTGGATGTGCTCACTAGTTTAGCAACGTCAAGTATGGTCAGTAGCTAGATGGGTGCCTGGCAGCACGATAAGGTTTCT